GGAGCAAGAGAGAGAGAGAGAGAGAGAGAGAGATGGAACAAGATGAGTATGATAATATGAGGTCGCTCATCGTTGTACGGATAATACCATGTCAAGTTCAAACTAGCACCAGAGACAGCACATTTCCATTGGCGTTAATGTTTTGTCACAGAGAGTCGCACCGATGACGAAACAACAATCCAATATACAATTTTAATTATATGCAAATTTGAGTGCGTGCGATATTTACGTAAGTGTACACACAGTGTGTTCGGGTCGAAAAGCAGCGAAACGAACGGACGAACGAACGGACGGCGTTCGTAAAGGTGGTGTGTACGAGGCATGAAGATTTTGTGTCATGATTAGAAATTGAGCGAAAGAGAGAGAGAGAGAGAGAGTGAACGAGTGAGTGAGAGGGTACAGGAGTGAGTGCGAGTAAGAGGCAGAGAGGCCCTCTCTTTGCTCAAAACGAACGGCACATATAATAAAGCAATCGACAGCTAGTTTTGATGAAAAACATGCACATCATCATCAATGTAAATGGACGTAAGAACCATCTTCCAGTCCAACTAAATAGCAACTTAGTTTCATCGAAAATCTTCCCCTGTGTTTTTCGTTTTTTTTTTCTGCCGCTGTTGCTGCTTTTTTGCCTGGATTTCGTTATCGCCATTTTTATTGCTCGACATGCAACGTTTTGGTGCTGTATGTGTGTGTGTGTGCTTTTCTATTTAGCAGAACATTGTTTTTCTCACTCATTCACATCGTCTCTCTCTCTCTCTCTCTCTGCGCGTTTGTCTTTTTCTCACGAATACGTTTTATCAGTTCGGCGAATTTGCCGTAGCCGGAGTTTCGTATGAAAAACCAACAACCGAACAAAATCCATACAAATGCACGGTATCAAATAAACAGCCAGACACAGCTATTTAACTAATTTAAATCCATACGAAAACAGCGAACATTTATGCCGTGTTGTTGTTGCTTTTCTAACAACGAATAATTGTAGTGGACTCACAAAACTAACTCAAAAATGACGATTGTTTGTTTTTTTCTCTGCTCTCGCGGTTCATTATATGTTCCTTCTCTTAGGAAATTTTATTGTACGTCATTCATTTGTGCGTTTTTTTTTCTTCGGGCTCGGTTGTGTGGATCAGAATGTGATCGTTTTTTTTTTGTTTCTGGTTGCGCTTCGGTCGGTTGTCGTATATGCAATTGTCAATATTTATGTAAATGTGCTCATGTGTCGATTGCTTTGATTATAATCATTATCCGAAATGGTGAATAAATGATAGAGAAAAAAAAATCCCTCTATATTATGGAAAATAGACAAACAAAAATATGATGATGGCAACCGAGGACAAATAGAGGAAAAAAAGTCAACCGACAACACACTTAGAGTGATGACAACAACGACCGACAACACACTTAGAGTGATGACAACAACGGACACACACACACACTCAAAAAGAATTGTAATAAAATACAGCAAAAGAAAAATTGATACGGACACAGAACTAAATCGACTGAGTGTTTATGCGAGTTAACAGAAATAGGGAAACAGAAATTACGTGAATAAAATACGCGCAAAGAGAAACCGAATTTCTTGTGGTTTACGTCAGCAATGTGCAAGCGATAGTATCGTACAGTTTTTTTTTTTTGGTCAGACAGATAGTGACAGAATTATACATGAAAAACATTTGACATTTATATGTTCCGAAGAATTGTCAACTCTCTTTCTTCTCACTCTATCTGTATCTATCTCTTTGTTCCTGTATGTGTCGAAACAATCGAACAATATTGAATTTCGGACGATGGGCGAAACCAATTTCGACTAACAATGAGAATAGAAAAATAAGTCAACAAAACTTTTAATTTATACCAACTATTCTGGTCGGTCATTGGTCAATTTGCTTGAATTTCCTTCCAACACCTTGAAAATTGCATGAGAAATGTATGCAGAGAACACGCCGAACCAGAGACAGAGTAAGAGAGAGTGAAAGAAGAAAAAAAAACGACGGTAGCTATTTTGTTGTTTGTCGAAGCACATGCGTAAAAACTATATTTCATTTGACTGCATGGCCCAAGTTTCGAATTGGAAGCCAGGTCGAAAACTTTTTCCTGTTTTATCTAGATGCAGATAAAACGGCCATTTTCTATGTATGTGTGTATGCGCGCTTGTGAAAGTAAGTGTGTGTGTGTGTGTGAACAAGCACAAACCGAAGACAAATTATCAAGGGAAGAAACCGAAAAGGTTGTGTTTATTGGCAAAAAAACAAAAATCGAGTGCGAATGATCGGTTTTTGGAAGTCGGCAAACAAAACGGAAACAACACTAAAAAGAAAAAAAAAACTTCCATAAAAATGGCATAGTTTGCTGTTTTTGGAATAAGCGCAATTCCGTTCGGAGCACTGTCATACAAAATATCTGCAAAGACCGAGAAAGAGAGCACAGAGCAGAGGAGTGGAAAGGGCAACCAGAGAACAAGCGAGAGAAAATGAGAGAGAGCGAAAAAAATATGCGGTGGCCCAATCCATACCATTTGCCTGAATGTAGTTGAAACGAAGTGTCGCTTTTTCCTTCAGATTTTACAACAACACATCGACAAAAAAGTCCCGCATTGCGGCAAAACTCTGAAATCGCGTCAAACGAGGACGGCGACAGGTGACGACGACAACCACGAATGCTAACTAGCTCTCGACTCTCTTATTCTCTCCACTCAGCACACACGCATACATACACACACGCACACACACATACATAATGAAACGGTATCTCGGAACGGCGCGCGCGAGAGAACCATTTTAGCTCGTGTGTTGCCGATGTAGAGCGCTCTCTTTCCACCGCATTCAATATCCGATGCCGTGGCGAACGAAAAACAGAGAGAACCCAACAGACAGACACACTGCGAACCGATTGAACAATTCTTTGGTGTGTGCTCATGAGAGGCACACTCACACCAATTCAATCACTCTCTCTCTCTCGCACACGAACACACGCGCGCGTTTGCTCGTGCACACAAACACACATCTACACACTGACACAAGCATTCTTTATCGGTATGGCCATAAGACACGAAGTGAATATTCCGCAGAAAAATTACGAGAGAGAGAGAGAGAGAGAGAAAGAAAAAAACGTTTCTAGCATGAGGCATATTAAATCATCAAATTGTTTCAGCTCATGACAATTTTTGCGATTAGGATTTTGCAAAATGTTAATCAAAAAATTTCAATCTTTTTCCTGCTAAATAACCACTTTAATTCGAAATAAGAAGAAGAACAAGAATTATGTAGAGAAAAAAAATTGAAGAAGAAGAAGAAGAAGAAGAAGAATTTTATTTAGTTCAGATGGAGAGTGATAGAGGGAGAATGATAGCGAAAGAGATGGACAGCGAATGCGCCGAACGAGAAATATCTCTCTTTTGGTTTGAGAGACAGAGAGAAAGAGAGCATGATCGAATCGAGAAAGGGAGAGAGATAGAGAACGGGTGCTCGACTCATAGCTCATATTTGCGCGTCGAACGATGTAATTGTATGTGCCTCATTCTGTATGCATACGAATAATTCGCGGCCATATATTTTGTTCAATGTTCTCAACGCACGAATTCGCTTTGCCTCATATTGCTCTATAGAGTGACTGACTCTTCTTCTTCTTCTATACTTCTACTTCATTTCATCTGTCTTTTGTCTTGTCTTCATTCGCTTCTTTTTCTATCCGATTCTTTCGTACAAAATTGTTATTTTTTTCCATGACTTCGTTTTCTACCCATTTTTGCTGATGTTGAATGAAAGACACACACACAAAAAAAGAGAGAGAGAGAGAGAGAATAAAATAAATTTCTAGTCGAACATTCGAACGAGATTCTAACCGTGAAGAGAAATCAAATGAGAAGCGGATTTTTTTTTCTTCATTTCTACTTCTTTTCGCCACCGATATGTATATGTACATGTATATGTAATGTATTGACGAGAATGGCTCTCACTCTTGCTTTGAAAATATATTTGGTTATACGATTTCCGTCACACAATCGTAGATGCGAACGAAGTAACGATGTGAAGAGAAAAAAAAAGAACTGTTTTTTTTTCGCCGATTTGAGAGTGAGACAAAACGAGTGATGACGAATTAGCAAAGAACAGAGGAAAAAAATCGACGACGACAGCGGCGACGAGGAACAACGTCGATTCAGAATCGACATTACGGAAAAATGCAAATTTTTTTTTCGGTTCGTCTTCAAATTCGAAACACAGAAAACCGAAGAAAGAAGACAGAGAAAAGCCGAATTTTGAACAGAAGATACGCACACAGAACGAAATGCTCACTTGAACGTGAGAAAAACTAAACGGCCGAAACCCGAAAATAAATGAGGGAAGAAAAATCAAAATGAATGATTGAGAAATGAAAATGGGCTTGTGCCGTTTTTTTTTTGCTTGCATCTTTTCGGCGGCTGCATGTAAGAGGAAATTTATTGTTGCGTTCAGTTGTTGACTGTGTGTGTTTTTTTTATTTCGTTTAAAAAGTTACTATCTTAGCTAATACGCCTTCTTCTTCTTCTTTTTCTTTTCATTTCGGATTCTCATCTCTCAAAAATGAACAGTTCAATGTATATTATATGATATTTTTTTTCGTTCCGTTCGTTAGATTGACGGCGTGTATTCTTTTTTTTTCTGTGTTAATTCCGATTTTAATTTCCAAATCGATTTTTAGCATGTATAGAGTGCCAGAGGGAGAGAGAGAGAGAGAGAGAGAGAGAGAGAGAGAGAGAGA